GTTTCCCAGCTGGGATGCGAGATTAGCACCGCTATAACCATGTCCAATAAACCACATTTTGAAGGAAGCACTCCTAACCTCTTCTTCAGTGGGTCCTTGCTTCCTAAACCACCCAAGGCTGAAAATCGAGGGATATTTCAAGAGAAGCCACCTTCCAAACGCAGTTGAACCAAATAGACCAAGGAACAGTCCAAATATGATGAATCGAATGATGCCCAGTAGAGACTTAGATCTTATCTTAACCCCAAAATGGGCTGGCTTCACCGTTGACCAGAAATTTTTTCTCCTCTCAATCTGTCCATCATTCTCATCAACCCCAGGAAGGCCATGCGGGTTCTCTGTTAGAGCTGAGAGTGTTCTACGGACAACAGTGGAATCTGCTGAAGGTAGCTTTACTGCCCAAAGGCCAATTGCCTTCTGGTGTTCTACCATGGGTCCTTTGGAAGGTGGGGGCCCTGCTATCTGCAAAATAGATGGATGCTTCATTAGTCTATATAGACCATGTCCGATAAATCAACAAAGACTCAATCATGAAATATACATCCTTGCATGACAAATCWCATGAAGCATGAAGGGGATGGTTAAATCAAGCCTAAGATTTACACTCTACAGTATTCAATGACCAATATATATTGACGAAAAGAAAATCCGGAGAGATGGGGGAGGAGGGTAACACCAACAAGTTAGAAAGCTAATGAAAAGGATACAGATGCACAAACCTAAAAACTATCAATGCAACTATGAGCCTTGTTCACATTCCTTCCCTAACAGATCTGGCTAGATTGTATGCTATCAAATGGAGCAAATGTTTTCTTCCCAACCTCACAAAAGCATTCAATTCCTCTTGGGAAAATCGCTTAAACTTCCTTATATTTTCTGACAAATACTTAAGCTTCACTTGTACTTTGGCCTATGCAAAAACCTCCCTTCAGGTTTCAAATAAATATGAAAACACACACTTCACTAACTAACTTGTAATGGAGATGTTGGAAGGGTGTGTTTGCATATTTGTCTGAGACATAAAGTTAGGATTTTGTGGAGGTCAAAATATATGGGAGGTTTAAGTATTTGACAGAAAATACAGAGGAAGTTTAAGGGGGTGTTCTCCAGTGTGAATTGTTTTTTTCTTGTTATCAGTTCCAACAACAAAACAAAACAAAACAAAACCAGCTGGTTTGAAAACAAATTGATTCTTAAAACAAAAAACAAAGAAGACATGTTCTTGGTTATATATGTGTCTTTTTTTTTGTTTCAAAACTGAAACATTCATTTCTACAATAACAGAACTCAAGAACTCAAGAACTCAAGAACATTTCTACATTTCTACAATAACAAAACTGAAACATATATGTGTCTTTTTCATATGGTTATTTAGTAATATGTTCTATAAACCATATAATTTCTACACCGCAAAATTTGTTTTCGTTTTAAAGAACCATTTTTTATATGGTTCCAAAACATGTATTTATTTTTTTTTTTTGTAGCAAAACCAAGTAGTTGTTTTGCCTGTCAAAACAATAACAGAACTCAAGAACATGTTTTTATTTTTTGACTGATGTGACAATTTCAAAAACAAATGAAAACAAGAAACATTCATTTTGTGGAACACCCCCTAAGTAATTTTCCCTTCCTTTTGTGGTCTATGGGAAGAGTACTTGTGGGCAAGGCTCCAATTTAACAATCCAAACATGGTGAAGGCAGTGCAGTGCTGCACATTTCTCCCCTATGCATGCAACTCATGGAGCATCAATTAAATAATGATGCAGATAAAAGTTAGATTTAAGAACAAAACACGGCATTACTTGGATCAAACGGGAACCCCCAATTACAAAATAAAAAATAAAATAAAAAAAAGAGGGGGAAGAACAGAAAGCAGAAAGCAAAAGCTTTGAGCACAATAGCTAAAAGACAAATGAAACAATGAGGAAGAATCCGACTGGAACTTTGATCAACAATGGACACAAATTTCCTTTTTCTTTTTTATTTGTTTTTGTTTTGGTAGAAAATTCTTCATTAGATAAAAAGGCAACAACCCCACAAAAGGGGGAATACAGCAGGGTACTCAGCCTTCAGATAAGGTCTGATCCACCAACAATCCGAGACAAAAGTAATGTAAATAGCAGGGAACATTATGAATAAAAAAATTCGGCACATTATGAAATGAAATCTGAAAATAATGAGCCAGGACACCTGAGTATAGGGGAAAAACTCTTTTTCTTTGTATATATCAAGAGATATGGCAATTGAATTCCACAGGTTGATAACTTATTTTCTATCAGAAAATTTGCAACTGCAAAAGCAATCTAGGCCCCATATAGAGAACAAACCCAAACTACGAAGAATCGAAAATCAAACTCAAGATTGATTATTTTTCTATACATGTTATACCGGCCCAATTCGATTAGACCAGAAGGGCAGATCCAATATGAAAACTGAAAACTGCCTTAAAAAAAAAATGAATGAATGATGTACAAAACAAATTACAAGACAGAAAGAATCCCAAAGACATCAACCTGCAAACAGATGTATACTTTTCTCTTCTTCAGAAAAAATATAATCACATTAAAATCCTCAAAACAGAAGGATGAAGGAAGATAAGAAAAAAAAAGCTTCTTACTACTGGTCTAGGTCTCTTGGGTCTAGACTTCCTCAGCTCCGGCAACTTATGCGCATTCGCCACGCCCAAAAAACAGCCGACTCAAACGTCCCGAAATTCAAGACAATCCTCTTGTCCGACTCCAAGCTCAAGTACGCCTCAACGCTGTTTGGTGCCGCTGGCGACACCCACTGCCTAGAATTGAACATCAATCCAAGTTCCGCAGGAATCGAATCGAACCCACAAGCGGAGACCACCAAGGACCCCTTCTCCACTGCCTTCTCGTGGTAAATTGCCTCCATTTTCTCCATGAATTCAGGTTCACCACAGATATCCA